GTAGGTGGGTAGGTTGGTAGATAGATAGATAGATAGATAGATACGTAGGATAGAGCAAGACAGTTTTTGGTAGGACAACGTGGGGCAAGATAGGATAAGAGAGGAGAAGACGGGATAAGATATCACGGCTGCCTTGAGTTTTCCTTGCGTTAGCAAGGCTTAGGAAGAATCCCCCCGCCTCTGAAATCAGCGTTCGACTCCTCCCTGGTCCGCCCTCTTCCGCATGAGGGGCCGGAGACTCAGCTCGTTCTTCTCCCATGCCCGCCAAGCCAGAATCTTTCCCTGATACACGCATTTCATTCCCGCTCCCATTTGGCTCAGTCGCTGCTGTCGCGCTCCAACCCTTTCACTTCAAGACTGTCTTGTCGGAAAAGCCCGCAAAAATCCCACAGGGAACATCGTTCTGCCATCTACCCTCCGGTGCCGCCATCACATGTCCAGTCTGCTCTTGGCCCCCGCATCAGCCACTGCCCCGCAAGCCTGCTACCTTTCGTGGTAGGATAAGATCGGGTGCGATAGAGACATAAGTAGATAGATAGATAGATAGATAGGCAGATAGGTAGCTTGAGCGATGAATATATGTATATATAGAAAGATCCATAGATACATAGGATAAGATAGGATAACACACGGTAATATAGGACGGCATGATAGGAGAAGATAGGTTCACACAGGAAAAGATACGATAAGATAGGTCAACATAGAATAAGACAGGATATCCTACAATACAAGATGAGGTAGGTAATATAGATTTCATAGATATGATCGAGAAGGTAGATAAGGCATACGATAGATAAGATGGATAAGATGTGCAATATATAGAGAAGACATATACGATGATGTAAATTGGACAGATGGGACAGATGGGATAGATATGATGTATAGATAGACAGACAGACAGACAGACAGATGGATGGATGTATGGATGGATGGATGGATGGATGGATGAATTGACAGACAGACAGACAGACAGACAGACAGACAGACAGACAGACAGATAGATAGATAGATAGATACGTAGATAGATAGATATAAAAACATAGGATAAGATAGGATACGATAGTATAATATTGGAAATGGTAGGATAAGATAGGATAAGACAGGATAAGACAGCACAAGGCAGGGTATGATAGGATACTCAAGGATCATATAGGACTAGGATAAGATGGATATAGATACAGATATAGATAAACGCCAGGGTTGGCAGAGGTTTGTGTGCAGGGATGAAGGGTGCTCAGTAAAGGGGGCGCCCCTATTCATGGACTAAGCATTGTTCAATTTGGGGTAAACATTGTGTTCTTCAATGCTTGTTTGCAGAAAGCGCATCTTCGGATGCTGTATCAAAAACCCAAGTGCAGCAGGAGCCCTTGTCCCCCCTCAAGCCTTTGATGGGACGTGGTTTACCGTTTTACCGTTTTACCGTTTTACCAGGGAGAACGGTAAAACCGTTTTACCGTTTTTCCTCCGGAATCTATGGGGAGGACCCACTAACACCGACCCCACCGCCTAACCAGCACAGAGCGACCCTTTTTTGGTCCCAAAGGCTGCAATCCAAAGTTTCTGATTCGAGTTAAGCATTTCTTGAACACCATCCCAGATTGGCACCGCGCAGGCTCTCTCGCAGCTGCGCCGCTGGGATCCTTGCAGGCGGGCCATTTGCGTAGCAAGAAGCAGCTTGCCAAGTTGGACTTCCAATGGATGTTTGGGGCACACGACCCGGGTGAATGCGGAATCTTGACGCCTAGCCAGCTACCGGGCACAAATAGCGTTTTATGCTGGGGTCCTAATTCCAGCCAAGTCAAGGTTTGGGCGTGCGCGCCAACCTCCTCCCTCACCCAGTCACCATCAGGTTTGTCGAGGTCCCATCCCAAGCTTTCTGCGGGGCCGGTGTTGCCACTTGCTACTAATGCTGTAGCTGTTGAAAACGCGGCGGGCGGCGTCAAGATCAACATGTATGTTGCTGAGTAGGAAATGGGAGGGCTGGCGGAAACCGACAACAACGCACTTTTTGTTTTTTCCTGAACCTTGCCCTTTGAACGGAGGCTAGCCCTGTATCAAACAGGTGTTTGGCGAACGGCGCTCAGGAACTGTACTTGTTGCTTCATGTTTATTCCAGCGGGGTCAGCTCGCCGGGTAATTCAACATACCTCAGTATAACACTCAATTATTCCACTTGACAAGAACTTTGAGAACTGCACATCCAATGAAATGCAGCTTCGTTCTGCCCAGTCTCTCCTGCGCTGCGCTGCGGCAAAGTGGTCGGCGCTTCGCAGCACTTGCGGGGCTTGTGCCACTTGGAGCTTTGGATGATGAGCTCCTGGCGGATTTGCATGACAGGCGGGGTCAGGGAAGCTGTGCCTTTTCCCTGGCCGCGTTTGGTCTTGGAGTCGTTGGCACGCACTTGCCTCGGTGTCGTTGGCGGCACGCCTTCTTATTTACAGCCAAATCATAGCCAAGGTAGGCAAGCGAAATTGACAAGACGATCAGGAGGCGATTCAATCAAGTCGGACAAGGTGAGGCAAAGAGTTTGGCAGGACCTTCAAAACACAATTTCGCAAGGCGGTGATGCATTCTTTGCATGAGCCTTGCTTCTCATAAAAGTAGTTTATCTCCAAGTGGTCCAACTAGGTTTCTTGTACACCTGGTCCAGGCCTATGCTTCGCGGCCCATTTTTTAAAGCCGCTTTGTGGCATTCCACCTTTCACTTGAAACCCTCAGCCCCCCCTCCCCCCTCCCTAAGAACTGTGTAGCTTTGGGGCCTAACAGCGCGTCGCCTGCCAGGCTCTGCGGGAAGTTCCCTGAGCATCTGCTGCCGTGTGCCGCGCCGCTGCTGGCGGCCTTGGCCAGAGAAGGCGGCCAACGCGCCCTCGACTTGGCCGAGGCGGTGTGCGTGGCCATGGCCTCCGCGCCGGCTTCCCTGGGCTTGCAGGAGGGGACGTAGATCACACGGTCGCAAAGACCCACGCAGAGGTAAGTGGGCCTTCCTCGTGTTGGACTGCCCAACTCATACGTTATTCTTGTTGATGCCCCAGTTCCACTGTCCCAAGCTCAACTACATAATGGGATGTGATAATCTGATAGGTGCAGAAAGGGTACAGCAGCATATTTGCCAGGGTCCCTACCCTGCGTGGTGTTGGGGCTTTGCACCCGCTATCCCGAGGAGCATGCGTTGGACTTGTGCGAGGCCTTGCTGTCCAAGCAAAGCCAGGCTGCCAGCGAAGCCTTGGTGATTCTGTGCCAGCCCTTTGGCCGGTTCTTGGCATCACTGTTGTCTATCAGATGTATACATGCACATCATGCTTCACTAACATGTTTGTATTACATGTATGCATGCATATGGGAAAAAGACAGGTTGAACTCGATCAACTAGCCTTGGATTGTTCAACACCAGGCATGTGCTCAATCCTTGTGGCTTATTCGCCCGGCGACTACGGCTCCAAAACACGCAGTTGAGCCCTTCGTGTCAGCTCTGTTGCTTCCGCGCATTTCCGCGCCAAGGCACTGCTCCGAGCGGCGGTGCTTCCAACTTCTGTGCAGGGCGCCGTTGACCTCATCCGCGCTGAATTGTTTGCTGGGCGCTTTGGGGCATCACGATCACCGCATCCAAATGCTTGCGGTGAGCCGCCTGGCGCAGCCGATCGCTGGGGAGGCGGCGCTGGTCATTCTCCGCCGCATTCTGCAAGTTGTGCTGGAGCAGGAGGCGCCTTTGCTGGAACACCTGGCGGACCTTTTCGTGACATATGCGGCGTGTACTTCTGCCTCAGCACTTTTGCAAGCAGCGCATGAGCTCGTGGCAGCCTGGCAGCCAGATCAGAGCCAGAGGTTCTTACTTCTTATTCCTCACTAAGCCGACTTTTCGCCCTTTCTTTGCGATTTTGCATGAAGGATGTCAAGCTTCCAAAAGTTCGACCTGTAGTTCCGGGTCCTTCGGCTTTTGTCCGGACCCGAGGTTGGAATCACGGATCAGGTGATGAGGCAGCTGGTGCTGCAGAGCTTTCAGCGACTTAGTGCCCAGAGCCTTAGCTAAAGACCTCTGATTCCGCCCTAAGCATCTTCTGGTTTGGGGCCCCGTAAATCAGGTACCCTCCCAAAAACCAGGACTATCGAACCTGTACAGGGGCTCCTGGACGACCATTTTCCTTGTAAAAGGACCCCTGTGCATGTTCTACCCCCTATAGAATCGGTGGTTTCGGTTGAGATAGTCGGCCCCTGGCTCTTTAGTAAGGGTAGATGGGAAACCAGTCCACCAAAACACCAAACCACAAATTGGAGGGAAGCTGAGCAACATGGCACAACACCTGCCCTCATCCCTTTTGGGATCTGCCCGGGATCAATCGGCAAGGTTCAAAACGTTCAGTATCCCCAAAAAGGGTTCCAAGGTTTCCCGATTTGAACCCTGGTTCTTGAGGGCAGATGGGAAACCACCTCACCAAACCGCCAAACCACCCCAAGGTTTTCCCAGCCCCAGTTTTTGCCAATGTGCACTCCTTGCCTGCGCTGAAGGCATGACAGCAAGGACAAGTTCATGTCCTTCATCGCAGAGCTGCGGGCATTGACATAGTGTCCATAGCAAAAAAAAAAAAAGGAAACACAGTGAGGAGGGGCCTGTGGCTGGCATGCCGTCCAAAGTGGGGCCCCCTTTAGGCGGATGCTGGGGTTATCTTGTGGCTTTTGAGGGGTTTAGAAAGGACCATAATGTTGACTCTGGATGAATAACATCCTATTATTAGTTAGGGGGTGTTGCTCCCCAAAGCGATGAATCCCCACCAAAAGGGGACACCACTTATTAACCAGCCAGAGTTTACTCATATGGGGTCAACAATGCATCATTTGAGAACCCCTTCAATTATCGGGCAAAGTTGATTGTGATCGCACCGGGTCTATTTCAATTGTCCGCGATGGTGCGTCAGCCACACACTTACGCACCATTTAAACGCTCAACAAAACTGGGAGATGCAAGGTGGAAGTGAAACAAAGTGCAGCCACGCCGCCGGATTTAGGCCCATGGCGGACAGCTTCAGTTGGCGGCCAAAGAAGCCGCAGAGACGATGGCAAACCACGCGGCGAGGCACGGGAAGTAAGGCTTTGAGGCTCGCCTCGCAAGATTTTACAACCCGCATTGGGGCTAGTTGGTTCCACCTGCACAGCGATATACTTGAGAGAATTCTTGCAAGAGCTACAAGAGTTCTGCTTTGCAATCCGCAGGTCCAACGCCTCTCTTCAAACGGTGGCCTCATCTGCCAGGCTGGTTTGCTAGCCCGCCCATGATTTTGTGAGGAGGCCCACCCTGTCTATCTCACTCTTCGGGCCTTGTGTGGTGAGCTTCGTAGAGTGGAGGCCTGCAGATGCTCTTGCATTGCTGCATACTTTCGCCTTCATGTCACCATGGTCACTGATCAGATGCAGTCAGCCCAAAAGTTGCGATCTGACACCAGGGATGCGCCCGATACTCGCGCTTCGGCCACAGGGAAGCTGCCATTGGGAGCGGCCTGAAAGACAGCGCGAGCATTTCTCGCATTGCCAGCGCCTAAATATGGCGCGTGAACTGTTCAGAAGCAACATCCTTGCGAAAGAGGTCAAGAAGCTGCTGCAAGTTCAGTCCTTTCCAGATTCCAGTCTGAACCATCAACAAGTTGAATTCATCCTGATATGTGCTGATGATTGTGCAGCTTGCATGTTCAGATGGGCATCACTTCACATCAACATGACACCCGCGCCGTTTGATAGTCACCCAAAATATGGGTGAGTGTTTGTGTGTGTGTGCGTGCTTTTTGAGGGTGCAACTGTTTGCATGGAGTTGTTTCCAAAGGAAATGAACAACAAAAACACTTATTTTCCGGGGGATCCCTCAAAAATAGGCCAGCTCTTTTGTCTTTCTTGAAGGCAGCTGCAGGCGGCCAAGTAACTGGGCCAGTCCAAGCAAGGCTGGCCACGCGGCTGCCTGGGCCGTTGCTCGTCAAACCGCCCGCTCTCAGGCCGGACCGTTTCGGAGGGAGGGCCAAAGGAAGTGGATTCATGTTGTGTTGGTTTTCCTTCTATTCGCAGATTAGAAGGACATGAGTCATGCTGCATTTAGACATTTCCTCAGTCCGTTGTCCCATTTGGTTGTCTGGCAGGTAGCCGCCCGCTCCGCATGAAACCATGGCTTTGTATGCCTGGCTGCGGCTCTTCTCGCGCATGCCACAGGTCTACATGTTCATCGTGCAACGTGCATGCAGTGAGGATCGTTTGCATGTACCTTTGACCGCTATGCGAGTTCCGCAGCTACCACTTTGCAGAGGTCAAAACTTGCTGGTGCTCAGCAGGGAAGGACTCTGGGTGTTGGGAATGAATCTGGGGCTTCCCTTAAAGGAAACCATAGGGGATGGTTTATAGGGGTCATTCCCTGAGAGGGCTTCGGAGTGAGTAAGTCCGCTTTTTTGGGAACGGGTGCGCAGAAAGACCTGCCAGGCTGGCTGGCAGGAAGTTGCTGAGCACACGGCGCCCGCCCTGGAAAACTCACCGTGCACAGCAGGAAAGGAAAGCATGCATGCAGCAAGGGTTGGTTCAAGCCGAGGCGAGGGGTAGCTTTTTTATGGGGTTCTTCAGAAAAGAACAAGATAGAACAAGGGGTTGTGTTAAACAATCTCGTTGCTGAGGGCCAGACAGGATTTTGAGGAACAGCAACGGCTAAGAAAAAAGACATGTAGCCTTGGACATGTCCGATTCCGATTCAAGCCCGCCCGGAAAGCGTTCAGTTTTATAGCTGAAACACTTGCCACTTATTTGCGCTGAGCAATATCGTACGTGTGATCGGCAGCGTGGACCAATCAACCCGTAGATCAACATCGCCAGCCGCAGCACTGCGCAGCACGTGACACACGAAGCATCGCAACTGAGGCTGCTGCCGCAGAGGCCGCGTTGCTTCCGAAGGACTTGGGTTTTTGTTTTGACTGCTATCGGTTTGGATCGTTAGACTTAACTTTTTGGTTGAAATAAAGGTGTTTTCCACTAAAGCCCCAAAAGGTTAAAAGCTTCTTGCAGGGTCAACAGCAACCAAGTCTTTTACGTCTCGTTGAGCCAAACATATAATATACAGAAGGGTGTGACGTTCAAGGGGTGTCTCAGTGATGAATCTATGGGCGTCAACAGCCTCTACAGGAGTGATGAACCAAAGACGGCACCACCCGAGATTGATGGTAGGGGAAGTACGTGGTGTATTTGAAGAAAGTTCTGGAGATGACACGCGCGTGAGTTGCCAAAGCCAGAGATAGCCATGATTTCAATGGAGGATCAGGTGCCATGGCTGGTTGCGCGGGCCGCCGGGCTGGAAGTGGCAAAGGCTGGACGCAAAGTCTTTGGATTCGACGGCAGGGTTTGCTTCGTCCAAGCTGGAGGCGCCGACGCGAACTCGTCACCGGCCCCAAGCCGAAGTGGTTTTGCCAAGCGATTCGTGGGAAGATCCCATGGCAGTGAATTGTGGCGAGGTCTGCGAACCATTTCCAGCGAAGTCCTAGGCCATGGTTGGCCAATCTTGGGAGCCACTCTTGACACTGAAGCTTTGCCACCAGCCCACCTCCGAGCTACGCATAAGCAATCATAGGGTGGATGGACAGAATCCATGTCGCACCACCTAACTAACCCTGGTTTCTGATGACTCCCCCGTAAATACCAACAAACGGTTATGGTGTCTCATGGGTTTCTTGGGTGGTGCGAAATGGACTTCGTCCATCCTCACTGTGAATTATGGGCGACGCCCAGAGCCAGGCCACTGCTCGCAGCACCAAATCCGGAGAGCAGGCGACTCGTGGGGAGTTTCGCGCCGTGCAAAGGGCGGGCCCTCTGGGCCGAAACTGCGGGAATCCTCACGCGAGTTGGACCTCAAACTTTTGGGGAAGGTTGAGTGGCAAAGGCACCGTTTGGGGGCTTTTTTGGGCCAGTCGCGGAGCGTCGCACGGTGGCTCAAAATGGCCTCCTTTCTTGGTTAACTTCAAAGGACCCCCCCCATGCCCCCCTTGGAGATTTCATGAGGGTGTACGTGTTAGCTCTAATTCATGACCTTCATTTAGGCTAGCCTCAAGGGCCGTAGGCTTGTGCCGTCTATCCTTTGTGCGCAAAATTGGGAGTGCGTAGGCCAATTTAAGGTTGTGCACATCCATTTTTGCTGACCGTCCTGTTTCGGCTTGATGAGTGAGTTGCGGATGTTTCCCCCAAGCTGCTGACGCCAGGTGGGCTTGGCAGTCGCCGCTGCCGTGCAAGCCGCTGGGGCCTGGGACTCAGCCACATCCGCGCCTCACCCGGGCCGCTTCGACACGACACGACCGGCTCAGGTGGCGAAGCTGAGTCCGGCGCCTGCCTCAAGCTGATTCGCGCAGGGCGAGGATTCGTCCGTTTGGTTAAGAGTATCGTTTATTTTCCCCTGTTGGTGTTAAAGGGAATCTATCACTACTGGACATAATTTTATTCTTTCCAGGGGTCTTAAGCAAATGGAAGGATTGGAAACTCGGTGGTTCCCAGCCATCCTAAGTTGTTCAAAGCGAATCGACCTTATGACCTTTTGGTTTTCCAATTTTGGTCCATATTTAGTCATGGCCGCAAAAGGTTGACCGTCAACCTTTTAGATCCAGGCCCTGTGGGCAACTTAGCGTCCCCTTAGCTTTCTGTTGGCTTTTTAGTGTTTAGTGGTAGTGTCCGTTTAACCCAGTAGAAGTTAAACTTTCAGCGGGCATTTGAGGGCGGCCCAGGAAAGGCATGCAGTGTTCCTGGATTGGCTCCCACGGGTATTGTACCTGTGCGCACGGTCGGGCAGCTGATGAGCTGACTGGTGAGCAGGTGCTTCTCTTCAGCGTTTGCTTCACTGACAAGTAGCTGAAGAATTCCGGCTAGGCCCTGCCCACCACGAAAAACGGTTCGGAGAAACCCCAAGGTCATCGCAGGCGAGGTGGTGGCATCTGCGCTGGCGTTGGGGCCTCGGCTGTGCCGCTCCCTTGTGCTGGCTTGGGATCGATCAACCCCTAGTTGCAAGACCTCCTTCCTGTGTGGCAAAGCAATGCATGTTTGCCTCAATGAAGAAATTGGGGAGTTTTGAGGATAAGGTCCTTGTAACATGGCTGTCGTTGGGAAACATTTTGCATTTTTGCTTTTTGTGGTTTAGTGGGAAATCCCCACTTACCTTCTAAAATTTATTTTTTTTGCTCCCCTTCCAACGTCAACCAAGGTAAAGCCCCAGTTCTGAACATCTTCCCGCTCACGTGATCGGTTATGCTGAAGAGCCATTGCAGGAGCGAATCACATGGCTTCGGCCTCTCCATGCGGGATGTCCGGGCCGCCAGTCGAATGCCCATGCCAAAAGCCCAACCTTTGATTGAAGATCCACGCGCAGATTTTTCTGAGGCGGCAGTGCCGCAAGTAGCTTTAGGGCATGTCTTGCCAGAATTCAGGGCAACTTCTATCCAAGACTTGGTGGGCACCACAATTTAGTAGGTGCCTGTGTGAAAGCACTTGCCCATGCTCTCAACATTTTGCCTATATTGCTTGCGCCTTGAGCCATAAGGACCCATCGGCTCCATTGGCAATTGGCACGCCTCTAGCATCATCCTTGCTCAGTTAGCCGCAGGTCGAACACGTTTCAAAGGCCGCGGCCGGACGACGCGACTGACTTGCCATGAATCAGATGCAGCGGTTTGTTCTCATGTTGGAGTAGTGTACGTTGAGGTTCTGCATGCGCACATGTGGCAACAGCTGGCAAAGAGGCTTCAGCAAGCGCACCTTCGCACCCCAGCGCATCAGCCGAGAAATGCGCTCGGGCCAATGAGTCAATAGGCTGCCCGTTGAGCCTTTTCGCCATGTCGTCCGTGACGTTGGAGTCGGCTGCAGGCGCGGCCCACTTGAAGCGTCCAGCCTTTCTGATATGAGAGTGGTGCAGGTACCCCTTTTCGAGGTTGCCTTAAAGGAAAGCCAAGGGCACACCACATTTCATGAAATGTCACTAGAGACAAACCAAATTGGTCACCCTTGGGCCTAGCGATTTTCCGTGCGATCTAGCGGCGGATTCCGTTCCAAGGGTTCCGAGCGGCCTTGGGTATTGCCTGCGATGCATGCGAGGTCCACAGCCCGATCCTGGCACAGAGACGTTTATCCGCTCACATATGGAGAGGTCCGTGGTCAGCAGGAGAATGGACCGTCTCTTGAGGACTGTTAGATGACTTTGCTCTGCTAGCGCCATTGCAATGTCGTGAACGCTTCAAGTGGTGAGCATGCCCTTCAGTTGGGCACCTCACTTACTTTCTGTTCCGCAGGAACAGCGAAGGAGCCCGGCAGCTACAACGACATGAGTCCTGGTGGAAATGCTTGCTGTGCCACGCCCAGTTTTTGCGTCGATGGCTTCCCTCCACCGGATCCTGTGGCGTGCTACGTAAGGCGCTGCTTCTGCATTGCGCCCAGCCCTTCGGCCCACGTTGAGTCGGCGCAGGCAGGGATCATACGCCTTCCTAAACCGTACCAACCCATTTTTTTAAAGAAAACTCAAGAACCCAGCCTAGACACCTTGAGCTTACTTGTGTATTATCAGTCCAACATCTTTTCCCTAAGCCACTAGTTTAGCATTGGGCCAATTCTAAAGTAACATTTGTTATAGTTTTTTGTGGGGAGACATTTTGGTTTTGGAATGCTAAGTAGTAGTGGGTCAATGCTAAATGAATATTGGGCATTTTTCGGGTGAGTGTTTTTTCTTGAATGTGAGTTTCGTATTGGGCCACTACCGAATCAGTATTGGGCATGCTGTTTCTTATTTGGTTTGGGAGGAATTCTGATTTAGCATTGGGCCAAGAATGTTTGCATGAGTTTCAGGAGGGTGTCCTTAAATAATAATAAAGGAATTAGAAACTACTTGTTGCGGTCAGTAGGACTCACCTTAGCTTTAATTTAGGTGGTGATTAGTTGCATCAGGCTTCATGGGGGGGAGGGGGGTAGCCTTGTTGCCAGGGTCAAGGGATGACTCATTTTGGGGTATTTAATGCTCACAGGTGGACATTCACCACCACGCGCACCCCAAGGCTAGCCTAGAACTGAGCCTCAATTTGCCCTAAACCCAACTGAAAACGAGTCTAAAAACACACCCCCCTCCCCCTGGGCACCCATTAGACACTTGCACTGAGCAATTTTCTGAGCAAGCCCAAGTCCCATGAACCCCAAACCGCACCACCATCCACCAGCCTTGCACGGTGAATGGCACCTGACAGTCAATTCTGGGCAAGGCCAACGGGCAAATCTCGAGCGGTAACTCGCAAATGCTTGCACCCATTGAGGTAGGCACTTAAGCTGATAATATGATGTTGATCTCATTCAGCCTTGCTCAGCTTGATGGCAACAGGGACTGAGCTTGCATCAACCACACGCAAGGCGCTGGCTGGATGAGTGTTTTGTTGCGCGCGTGAAAACGAACACAGGCACGTCCCCAAAAATCACATCCGCACCAAGCGTGTGACATTTCTGCTCCGGCGCCATCCGCCCTGTGCGGAGGCCCAGCAGGAAGCCATCATCAGGTCACTGGCGATCATGAGCGCAGAGCAGCTTGCGAGGAGAGTTGCTTTTTCGAATTGTGTTTGCTGTTTGCTGTTTGTGTTGTTTGCTCTTTGTTATGTTTGTTTCGTTCAAGTGACCCTGACGCAAACTGCGCTGTCGATTGAAATGTGCAAGTTGAAGCCATGACGATTAAGCAGCACAACGTGCAGAACAGCGAAGCAAGGTCCGGGCAAGCAATTAGCCAGCAAAGAAAAGCAAGAAACAAAACAGCAAACCGAGCAGGCGCCCATGCAGC